CCTGTGCTTGTCCATCCTGGCTGGTGGAGACCTTACCACCTTTCAGTTTGGGAGATTTCTCCCAGGAAGCTGTGCATCTTTGTTATCTGTAGCCATTTCCTCCCCTTTCCACTGAGACACCTGGGAGGCCAAGAATAAGCCTAATGTCTGTCACCGTTCCAAAATGTATTATTTAATTGAAGACAGACTTCCTGCCTTTTCTTTCACCGAATCTGTATAATCTCAGTATCCCAGTGTTCTCCTTTGTCTACCCTCCAGGTCCTAAAAGGCTTGTGAGGCATCACTTGTATTTTCAGTTATTCTCACAGAACACACCACCTAGGTTCCTTGCCCCCTGGCTTCCAACTGGTTTGCCAGTAGGAGGCGCTGTAGGCATCACTGTGGGAGACGAGGGAGAATTCAAGGCGCTGATCCCCCCCACACACTCTTTCCTCCTGCCCTGCTACAGCAGTGCCTGCATTCCTCTACCTACAGAGGTAGCACATGTTTTCTGGCTCCTCTCAAAGGCTCCAGCTTTGCTGGGTTCTGGAAACAACTCTCTTCTGCTGTTTCTTCAGCCTAGAGGTGGTGACAACTTCCTGCTGTTTCTAGTCCCAGGGAGCTCCGTCATGTATTGCTGTCACCTGCCTGCACCTCTGTAAATAGCTGGTCACTAAGTCTCTTCAATGATCTCTTTGATTCTGCCATCTGTTTCCTCCCAAGACCTAACCATGTATAAGGCACTCAAAGACATAAAATATCAACAAGCATTTACTCGTATTGCAGAAATGACACATCACTTCTCCATGTTAATTCCAAAACACATGTGAATTATGAAGTGTCCTGGCTGCTCACTTGTATCCTTTTAACAACTGAACAGTAAGCTTAGGATTTTCCTGAGTTCTATGAGTTGTTCTAGCAAATGATTGAACTTGAAACAGCGGAACCCCAACTTAGTAGCCACGACAGACAGAAATGCAGGCAACACGAGGACCTGAAACTTGTGGCTTGCGTCTGCAGTGAGGGCAGTCTGTGGGACGGAGCCTGTAACCTGTGGGGTCTGATGCTGACTCCAGGTAGGTGTCAGAATTGATTAGAATTGTGGGACACACAGGTGGTGTCCAAGAATCAGAGAATTGGTGGAGTAGAGGGAAAAATCCTCTCACCATTCCAAAAAGAAATTCAGAGTAAGAGTGCGCAAGTAAACCTCTACCTTGGATATCATTTATTAGTCCCTGTTCTTCCAGCCAAACCTGAGTGCCTACAAAGCACCAGAGAAAGTTCCAGTCTCAGATCTTTGCTGTAAGAATTGAAATTAGACATTCTTCTTCCATCCCTCACCCCAGGATCTGAATTTTCTTCCTACATTCGGAAAATTCCACCTGTAGTCTTGGTGGGAGGCAGAGGCCACTTCACTCTATAAGAGGGGAACCCACTGTCCCCAACACTCTTGCAACTGGACACGGCAGAAGGTTCCACCATCAGGTGACCACATGCCAGGCTCTGACTCAGGACGTGGTGACACAGAGGCTGGAACCATGCAGAACGCATTTGGCAATAACACCAGTTGCCAGGAGCAGAGTGACAGCAGTCATGGCTGCAGGGCCAGGTGTCCATGTGGATGTCAGTGGTGTGAACAGTGACACGTGTGCCCAGCAGCACAGGCAGTGGTTCCGACGTAGGACCTGACCTGGGGGTACTGTGAGTCAATTCCTGGCTGGGTGGCCTCATGAGTGTTCTGTGGCTTTCCCCAAAATAGTGTTAGATTGCAGTTGTGTGTGTGTGTGTTCTTCACTGGCCAAAATAACTCTCCAAGAAATCCACCAAAAGAATGGTTTATCCGGGAAAAGAAAAAAAACAAAAAACACAGCGGAGTGTGGACACGCACACCCAACCAAGACACCACACGGGTTTCCCCATGAAAAGCACACCTGCGGCTACAAGGGCGATATCTTTATTAGCATCCCTCTCCCGGAAGTTTCCACAAAGTTTAACAAAAAGTCAGGACTAGAGAGTTAACAAGGGGCCCAGCTCCACCCATAGTTTTCCCAGCTCTATGGTTAAGCATCTTAAGATGCCAATTCACTTTTATCAGTGTAAATTAGAAAAAAATTGGATTCCATTGTTTGCTCCCCAAAATCAACTTGGGGAAGTTTCAGAGTAAGCATTCAGAGATTTTATTACACTGACCTGTGACCCACTCCTAAATCTTCCACCTGATTCTACCCCATGGTAGAAAGAACGACACGTAACTCCCAACAGCATGTCTCATAATTGACGATATATGTCCTCCCCTTTCTGAGGAAAAAAAACTCCTTTAAAAGTGTATTTAAGGCCATTCCTTACCCTGAACTCTGATCACTGACCTCAGAGGTTTCCAAGCTGGCAGAGCCCCAGGATAACTTCTGGGCTTCTTACAAAACACTCAGGCCTCTCTCAGACCCAC